TTTTGCAATGACAAAGCTCAATATGGCATGGGGAATTCTCCTGAACTCCGTTCGAATATTATTCTCGAGAGCATCGATAGTTTGGGTGTTGTTGACATAGATTCTATCTTTTGAGTATCTCCAAAGAACCAATCCAAAGGGAAAAAGTCTCCAGTCGTGCTCACCGACCTTGACGAGCACAATCTACAAACCTATCCTCTTTGGATTGTTTGATCTGGAAATATCTTTAAAACGTGACACACACAACGTAGAGACTCCTAAGAACATAACATAACATAATAAAGTTGCATAACATATTTTATATAGACCTTATATAATGGCTAATGATCCTGGAAAATTNATAGACCTTATATAATGGCTAATGACCCTGGAAAGTTCCCAGTTACCGCCCTGTGTATGTATTATATCATAAACTCTGAATTGCTCTCTGAATTGAATGGAAGAAAACCCGTACTGTGACTTCAGCTATATGTGGGTTTACTGTTATGACAGACTGCATAATATAGTGACAGATGACGACGATCTAGAGCTTTCAAACATTTATTCACCGACCTATTAGTCAGCGGATCAACTTTGTTGTGATGACAGCCTTACCAGCATTGTTCACGTCTCTTTCAAAACTTTTGTCTACATCTCCTTAAGACTTCAATCTTTAGACCCATCTTTAAAAAGTTAATGTTGATTCCACTCTCCTACTAAACGATAGACTAGTGGCCAATCTGTATTTTTCTTTCAAAGGTCGAAAATATTATCTCTGTCAGATTGTTTGATTATCTCAAGTGATTATCTCAGAAAACCCAGTCAGCATATAAGCCTGGCCATAACACAGTAACAGCACTGATTTGAATCAAAATGATTTACTGATTTGAATGATTAGGGGTGAAGAAAAAGACCTGTCAGCGGATTTTGTACAGTAAAGCATCAATTGTTTCAACGAAATATTATTGACGACGCAGACTTTACGGTAATGATCAGCAATAAGTTGTTGTTAAATCGGTCACATATTCTTAACTTAACCGTTTTTATGCAGAAGGTAATTTGCCCGGACCGACGCGAGCCAGCGTTCGTTTTCGCGACTTCACGATTCCGTTGTGACGGAATAACGTGCGTCATCTGGGATATGAACTCGTGACTTTCCGTCACCGTTGTTGGTGACGGCTTTGGATTTTTATGGCAGTCAAGCCCACCCTCTGTACGCACGGGTTTCCTCTTATAGTAATCAAATGCAATTTTTATAAATTTATAGCAAAAAATATAAACACTGTACATCCTAGAATTCGGACTCACGCATAGCTGTGTCCAAGACAGCGGAGTTACCACGGAAGCCGCAGAAGCTTCGTTAGTAGGCTGTAGATCAAATAGAAACTTTCTATCTACTTGTAATGTTTACATCTACAATGACAATCGACATAAGTAATTTATCCCGCTTAACGCCAGTCCCCGAACATGGTCTTATCATCAATTTTGGAGTACATGATATACATGAGGCCTTGTTTGAGAAGCCGACACGGTTGATGTACCCATGGTTGATATACCGGTGTGAATGACCATTTGCCCGAAGGTCCATAAGTCAGAAGGTAGAAAAGTATGAATACAGCACAAAGCAGTGGTACCTTAATCTCACGGGCCATTTGGACCACTAGTTTTCTAACATCTGCCGGTCCGAATATATAAATAAGGATTCATTGGTCCGAATAAAAAGTTCAATAAAACTGGATATTTTCCCAATTTCATTTGTATTAATGAAAACAACACCTTGATTTTGTCAAAAGTTTATTTATTTATTTTTCTTTTAGAATCATCATGTAACAGTAATGCAAGGCTGACACTTGCACGACTTTTGGCCCCGATTTTGTCGTGGCAAGTCGTGCCATTTTGGGGCACGAAGTGGGAGGCTCCCGCACTGTTCCCTACTAGTTCATGCTTAGTTCACGACGAGTTCACGACGAGCTAACGAATAGTTTACGAATGCGTGTCCACATTGACACGAACTGCCACGACAAGTTCACGCATAGCTTGCGCATAGTTTACGCACTTCCCGCATTGGCACGACGAGTTTGCGCAATTCGGACGCAATTCGGACTTGGGCACGCGATATACGTGAGCTGCTCGTGAATTATTCGGCAGTTCGTAACAGTCGTGGCATGGCGCGCACTGCCACGCACTGGCACGCATCCTCTCGCATCGTCCCGACGAATTCACGACGAGTTCACGAACAGTCGCGAAATTTTGTCGTGACCAAAATTTTGAATTTCTTCACGCCAGTTCACGACTAGTTTGCGCACTGACACGACTCGAGTCTTGCCAATGCGTGCCACAGAATCGTGCAAGTGTCAGCCTTGCTTTACATTTCAGAAAACATTACATTAAATAGAAAGCTATTTTGAAAGTTTATTGAAACATCTAATGGTCAAGTCGGGCATTAAATTCACACTTTCTGAAATACTGGCGTCGGGCGTGGGAACAGTGGCATATTCAACGTCGTCTTTATCTAGTTCTTTCAGTCTGTGTGCCAGCTCTTTGGGAGACTTAAAATCGTGTGGGTCTATGTGCCAGGACGAAGGGATGCCAAGACGCGTGTAGCTGTCCTTTAACGAGTGGCATTTTTTGCTCAAATCATGGAAGTTCATGGATATTTCCAGCCTCAAATAAAAATATAATAAAAATCGTCAAAACAGCACCGTCACGCGTCAAATTCTTCAACTTCCAACTTCCACGTGGAGCGTGAGTGAACGGCATCAGGAAGACCGATGTAAACGGAATGCAGGTACGCCCGGAATAGGAATGGTAGTCCTAATGGGACCTGTATTCCTGAAATATATACTGAACAAAAATATAAACGCACGAAAGCATATGTTGATTTATTTTCATGTATGCATGGAACTGGAGTATATGGCCAACATTAACAGCATATTTTCCTCAACAAATAGACATCACTTTGAGAGCATTACGGGAAGTTTGAATGCATAGTCCAAGAGTTAGGGCATCAACTACACCATGGGGGNGATTAACGTGCGTCATCTGGGATATGAACTCGTGACTTTCCGTCACCGTTGTTGGTGATGGCTTTGGATTTTTATGGCAGTCAAGCCCACCCTCTGTACGTACGGGTTTCCTCTTATAGTAATCAAATGCAATTTTTATAAATTTATAGCAAAAAATATAAACACTGTACATCCTAGAATTCGGACTCACGCATAGCTGTGTCCAAGACAGCGGAGTTACCACGGAAGCCGCAGAAGCTTCGTTAGTAGGCTGTAGATCAAATAGAAACTTTCTATCTACTTGTAATGTTTACATCTACAATGACAATCGACATAAGTAATTTATCCCGCTTAACGCCAGTCCCCGAACATGGTCTTATCATCAATTTTGGAGTACATGATATACATGAGGCCTTGTTTGAGAAGCCGACACGGTTGATGTACCCATGGTTGATATACCGGTGTGAATGACCATTTGCCCGAAGGTCCATAAGTCAGAAGGTAGAAAAGTATGAATACAGCACAAAGCAGTGGTACCTTAATCTCACGGGCCATTTGGACCACTAGTTTTCTAACATCTGCCGGTCCGAATATATAAATAAGGATTCATTGGTCCGAAAAAAAAGTTCAATAAAACTGGATATTTTCCCAATTTCATTTGTATTAATGAAAACAACACCTTGATTTTGTCAAAAGTTTATTTATTTATTTTTCTTTTAGAATCATCATGTAACAGTAATGCAAGGCTGACACTTGCACGACTTTTGGCCCCGATTTTGTCGTGGCAAGTGGAATGATGCACATTCTGGCATGCTGCAACTTCTGTTACCAAAAAGCCAATATTGAGCATGCTGATGGCATACACCCTCATGATTTCAGACATGTGTGGCATGTTGACAAGTGACAGAAATGCACATTTTGGTGTGTCCTTTTATTGCATAGACTGTAAGGAGTGTCTGTGTATTGGTCATGCAGATTGACCTCCACTCCGTCATGCTCCATTAGTCTTATGGGTGGAAAAACTAAACGTTTAAGTTTACTCACGGGGAGCAGCCAAGTGAAGCCAGACCACTATACTTGATCAATACAAATCCATCAATTCACAAATAAACCATCAACTTCGGCATATTTCATAATTATCCATTTTAACTGACCATTTTAGTTTCGTGCGTTTATATTTTTGTTCAGTATATATGCATAGGACTACTATTTTCCCTGCAGACCTGCATTCCGTTTACATCAGTCGGCGAAATGAAGGCCGCCCGATTTTTATATAAAACCAGTGACATGTATAGTACGCTTTAATTGAAGGTAGATGCACCTTTAAAGGTGCCGTCAACGGATCTAATTTGAAAATTTATGTCAAAAATGAATGGATAGGGATACTAAAATGAAAATAAATGTATGAAAATTTCTCTTGTGATATTCTTCATAATGATATTTTTTCATTTAGTCTGTCAATATCAAAATAAAAAAAGGTAATACACACATTTTATTATTTATTATATGTGACTTTCATTTAATACTAATAGGACTACCATTCCTTTTACACTGGTCTTGTTCACTGCCGAGTCCAGGTGTAACGTGACAGCGAGTCCCCCATTACAGAGAGTCCGCTTCCCATTCATTTGTACAGGTGAGCCTCGCCCTAGATTTTGACCCACTTAGGTCAGACTAATACCTTATAACTATATGGAGCTCGAGGGCGTGTAACTGCATGCCAATACAGTTATGGAAATGAAGAAAGCAGACTCTTCGACTGATGAATAAATGTCTTTATTGGTAAACCACCATGAAGACCGAAAGCACTGTGAAAGCTAAAAATGAAAATAAACATGATTTACTTAAAGGCCTTGTTAAATGAGACAGTTATTTTTTAAAATACTCACTCAAGGCAAAGTTTACTCTATTACAACTGAAATCTAATCTGACAATTCAGACAACCTTTAACAATAACAAACATAACTAGTAATTAACACGGAACTCACTGTTCACGCCCTAGACCTACAGCATTGGTCAAAAAGGTTGTCCCACCCCCATTTCCNTCGACTCAGGGCTAGCCTCAGTAGGTTTTGGCGACCTACTCAGTTCTGGGGAAACCCTGGGATATCTCCCTAATTTGGCCTTAAAAGTTGGCATTTCTTTGAATGTTATTCTGCTCATGTCTTGAACACTGCTAGTTGAGGAGGCTTGTGGCTGTGATGGGTAATGGTGACCCTGGGAACTGCTATCATCCAGTGATATGTCATGTGTTCCTTCATGACTACTAGTATCACTTGTATTTTTCTTGTAGGCCTCAATGTCCTTCAGCATCATAGTGAGCCTCTGCAGTCTTTCAAGGTCTTTAGAATGTGACTCTGGCATATCATGAAGCTTTTTTCTTGCAAAGGAAGAGGTCGTACTGGAAGGACCTGATGGTGAGGAGCTGGCTGCAGATTGTTGGCCTTGCTCTGTATGGTGTTCAAGTGAAGAGGATTGTGCAGGGCTTCCTTCTTGCAAATCTTGGTGATCAGGGGATACTAACAAGGATTCCTTAGTATGACCCTCCATCTCACCCAATGACCCTCTGCCTTTGGAGGAGCCACTACTGAAAGAATCCATTGATTCTGAATCAGAGAGCAATTGGTTGATGTTTAGTCTTTGGCTTCTCGCTAAAGGTTGTTGCTTGGGGGACTCCAAGCGTTGAGTGACGTTTTTCAACTTGCTGATGCATTTTGTCAGTTCACCATTGTAAGTTTGCATATCTGTCCCCACGCACTTGTCAGCTTTCCTGTGTTTCTTCAGTGCAGTTTGAGTGGATACTGACTGAGTTATCAAGTGATTACTTTTGTCCAAATCTCTGAGTTTCTCAGCTGACACAGGTAAAGTTCCAGTTCCTACAGAACGATTCTGAATAAATTTCTTAGAGGTATAAGGAATTACATTTTCCTTGTCATCTCTTTCCTCGTATGAAGGATATACAAACCCACTGGGAAATACGAGTGGGTCTGTCATTGTACTGTTTTCCACCATTTGTTTCTTTTTCACACTTGCAGTAAATTGTGCTGTCTGACCGCCCTTGCCTCTCGTCAAAACAAGCGACTTGGAGACGTCTTTATCAACTTTCATCACAAAACTTAACTTGTCTGTTGGAGACCCAATAGGTGACGTTTGCTGATCTACTTGGAATAAAACATCAGTGGACGTGCTCTTTTCTGATTTCCCAATGTCCAGAGTTGATGGGGGGTCTGGGCGTCTGTGCACGTGTTGTACTTTCCCCTGCTCAGGAGAGGAGACTTTGTTTGGATCAAACATGGCCACTTTGGACGAAACTGATGCCAATAACGAAATTTCTTCCAAACTATCCTCTCTGGTAAGGGAAATGTCATCATTGGAGTAGATGAACTTGATTGGACTTGATGCTTTATCCTCCCTTCCCTCCAAACCATTGGTCTGGGTGTATTCATTGCTTGTATTCATTTCGCTGTCACATGTAGTACTCTTGCTTTTTGTTCTTACTCTGGCCGATGTAGCCTTGTCACTAAAGGATGGCTTTTCGTGCTCACCAATATCTTTTTGGAACCCATTGACCATGGCCTTTATTTCTTTGGCCATTAATAATTCTGCTTCGGGATCTGTGATTATTTCATCGGTGTTGCTTTCCTTGTCAAATGTCTCAGGCAAGTCTGTGCCTGTTTGTTTGCTAGGCATGGGTATGGTGAAAGCGTCTGACTCCTTGTCGATGAAAGATGTCTGTCTTGTTAGGGTTGACCTGTCAGCAGTAACAATAGGGCGGGTGGCAGTGGACATATCACTTTGAATAGTAGGCGGTGTCCCAACATTTTTATTGTGCATCTCTACAGTAGCTTCACATCCCTTGTCAGATGTTGAAACTACAATTTCTTGTGTTTGAGAATATATGGAAGCAGTATTTACGGTGCTATCCCCTTGTCCAAAGTCAACCACTGATATCGTACAGCCAACATTCTTGTCCACATAATTATTTTTGTCAGTCAAAACCCCAACTTCCGCAGTTTGTAAGACATCCATTCCGGTTGTAGAATTGGCAGTTAGTGGTCTCATTGAGCAGACGATAGATTTATCTACCATACGAAATCTTCGTGTATTTGTACCCTTGGACGTTGCTATCACATTGTTTGACCCCGTACCAAAATCTGAGTATTGAGGTCGAGTTGTAGTAGTTGTTGCATCTTTACATTCAATGACGCCATCACCGCATCCATTGTCAACGATAATAACATTAGTGGAAGTCTCTTTGTGCGCAAGATCTTTCTCTTTCGTTCCAATTTTACAATGTTTCATATGAGGCAAGGCTCGTATGGCTTTGTCGGCGTAAGTCCTATGTTCCATACCCGTTTGCTTGTCACAGCTTTCTGTTGTTTCTGTTCCGGTAAACTTTTCACTGAACATTATTTCAGAACCACACGATTTATCAGTTAATTCTGCATGCTCAGTTGCAGTACCCGTGTCTACAACAACTGCTTTATATGCGTCGGTTGCCATATCACTAATACCAACAGCTTCAGTACACGTAACTCCGTCCGCTGTATCCACCATTGCCTCCGTATGTTTATCATGAGATGTAACGTGACCATCACCAACCATTGTATCCCGAGTAGCAACTTGGACATAGGTCGCCTTATTCGCCACAGACACGGGGAAAGAGTCGGACGCGGCGTCCTTGGTGCTAATCTTTGTCATTGTGCTTATACTTGCCACGTCAAGGTGCGTTGAGTACGTCTCTGAAGATTTCTCCGCGCGGGTAATATGAGGAGTTGCTGTGGAGACGTCGGCTGTAGTTGCTCGTTCAGTTATTGTGCTGCCGTCTTTGACTTCGATCACGGTATCAGTACCAAAATGGCGTAGCTCGGGAGCCGTTGTTGCAGTGCTGGCATCTTTCGGCCGAAGATCCATACCCGTTTCCTTGTCTGAGTGAAATATTGGTGTCCATGTGGCACAATCCTGGCTTAAAACACACGCGTCACCAACACCGCTATCAGAAAGCTTTACAAATGTATGTGTCTCTTTATCATGACTTTCTTTTACAGGCATAAATGTCTCTGCGTCTTTGGTGGCAGCGGCAACCAACGTACCGGTTTCAACGGTAGAAACAGTTGGTGTTTGACACAGCTTATCAATACCGGTTAATATGTCTGTCGCTGTGGCTTTTGTATAACACACTGGTGGCGCCGTAAATGTTAGAGCGTCTTTTGTCTCCAGTGTGGGCGTGGCAGTGGCGCTGTCAGTTGTTTTGGCGTTCACTGTTGCCACTGACGTATCTTGTGTAAAGACTGATGCGTCTCCAACTGAGGAATCGGTTGTGTAAATTAACACCGAGTCTCCTACACCGATATCAACGCAACATGTACCAACAGTTTCCGTGCTACTGTCAGACATCGAAATGTTCGTACCTGTCGCTTTGTCTACTGGAGCACCCATTGCCGTCTCCGTTGCGATTTCACGGCTTGCGACTTCTGTAGAAGTCCCTTGATCGGAGACTGGAGGTTTATCAGGCGGTATTTCCGCCGACACGGCCTGATCTACCATAACTATCTTTGGCATTGCGATGCCAGTTTCAACAGTGTGTACGCGAGTGGTGCCGCATTTTCTGTGAACCCTTGGTGGCTTAGGCGTCATCACAGCCTTTTCTGATAGTGAAAGTTTATCTGTAGATGTTTCCTTGTTTTCTACGGAAGGAGATGTCATTGTACATACGTCAACGCCAACTGTCTCTTGATCAAATCCTGGCAGAATATCCATCAGTGTGCCTTTATCCGACGTTGCCGCCCTCGGTGGCCATGGCAAGTCATCCGTAGAAACGCCGGCAACAGCAGTTCTTAACGGAGGCATAGAGATACCGACTTCAATCAGTTGTCGCTGTATCGTACCAACTTTTTTGTTTGTCACCGAACATGTGGTTGTCATGCTATTCTGATCTTTCTGTTCGCCGCGGTAAGCGTCCACGTATTTATCAGTACACTCTACGGGTGTGGTCCCCGTCCCAACTTCAATTGTCTCCGGCAGCGACACCATATCTGTAAAAGCGTCAACTGTCTCCTTAGCCCCAGCGTCCCATGGTTCAACCGGATCTGTCATCGTTTTCTGATGACAAGATGAAGGGATAATTGACACATTTTTATCTTCCGTCTCTGGTCTCGACTCGGTCTGAGCGTCTTTTGTTTTAATCTTAGCTGTTGACATCCATGCGTCCACTGTGACGACGGCCGTTGAGGTAGATTGATCGCTGTGTTCTACGATCTCAGTACACGTTGTCTTTTCATGCGACGCGGTGCGTTCGGTATTCGTTTCCTTATGAGAAACGCGGGAAAGGGAACGATCGCGATTGCGTCTGTCCCGCCTCTCTTGCCCTCTCTCTAAGAATTCCTCCGTCTGGATTCGCTTGTGTCTGAAGTCGGGCTCGTCGGTCACGACGCCGTAGCTGCGGACTATGGCCTGGGCGGTCATCGTACCCGTGGTATACGTGAACGGCAATTCCGGCGCTGTTGCCTGGTCTTTCTGCCGTCTGCGTAGCGTCTGGGTGTGAATATCATGGGATAGCACCTCAATCATGCTACTTCCCATGGAGGTTTCTTGTTCACTGTTGGTTATTATTGGCGTCTGGGTGTCTACCGTGACTCCTTTAGGAAGCAGCGCCATTCTCCCCTCGGCTAATTCTGTTTCGTCGCAGTCTGTGGAAAGATGGCCAAGAGATACGCAGCCTGGGATAAAAGAGATGTGCTTTTTCGCATTAGCAGGCGGTGTTCTGACGCCAGATCTCAGTAGAGATTCGAGTTTTTGTTGTATATCATTTTTCATCAGTAGCATTTCGATGTTTTGGTTTTGTATGAGGATTTCTGTTAGATTGCACGTGCTTTGCAAGCCGTTGAGGTTATCTTGCAACATGTTTCGCTTCTGCAGAAATTCCAGGAGTTCTGCGCCGTACATATCGTTCAATTGATTTATAAGCTGATTCTCACTAGCGCGAACACGAGATACAAAAATCTCTGTCATTTCCCTTATCGCTTTTTCTGCCTCTCTTTTGTTGTTATCGCAATCGTCTATGAAGTCCAACTGAGATTTGATTTGCTCGATGCGAACTTTGCTTGACTGCACCAAAGTTTGTAGAGAATCTCGATACCGCTGCATCCCTTCGTTGAATGACGACACCTCGTGGCCCTTGTGTTCTTGAAATGCGCAGACGACACAGATGCATTTCTGACAAGGCTCACAGTAAAAGCGAATCTGGAAGATAAAAATGATTTAGAGTAGACGTAATAAAAAAGGAGCAAAAATAATTCAATTACTGATAGGCCCCTTCTTTGTCCTATACTTAATAAATTAAGCTAACTAAAACAGGAGTTAATCATCATTTTTATTCATTTTTTTAATGTCCAAGAAATGTTTCTTTGTCTATTATCTATACGTATGTTCCAATAGTTTTCCATTCTCAGGCAAAAGAAAACGTCTGGGGAAATTTTTACTTAATGTAATTTAATTCAGCACTTGATTTGCAAATAAGAACATAAACTACATAATTCGAAAATAAGACCTTGTACTTAAATAGTTTTTCGAATACATGGAGCGTGAACTATAGTCATTTGGAACGGTTGTGCAATATAAAACTAATATTTTAGTTAACAAATAACAGTGAATCTTCTAAGGCAGATATTAAAAAGTCAAAACACAAATCGCAAACGCACAAAGCATTCTCAATAGATATAAGCAGATAAAGCACGAATTTGTTCCCTAGATAAAACGGATTAGTGTTAAACACTTTAAAGTAACAGACATTGATAAACAGTTCGTGTTTTAGTAACTTCTGGTTGTATAGACTACAAAAACATCTGAGTTTTTGTTAATGCATTCAAACCTGGGCTACCTCAATCGTCTAGAAATGGTTACAGCATATTTTCTTATTTCCAGACGATTACGACTGGCATTATAAAAAACTTACTCAACTGTCCCAATTTTAACAACAGTCAGAACAATATACTATAACTAAAAAATGTTATATCATGAACAAAACTACGAATTCGTTATTATGTCCAAGGTTATATTTGACTGCAATAATTTACTACTCTCTGATCACAGGGTACCGCTGGTAGCCTTTTTCAAAATTATTGTAACGACCTTTACTTTCATCCTGTCAACTATTTCATAGGCCCCTGCTATCAGAGGATAGTAATTTTCAAACAATTAAAAATGTTACCAAAAGCACTCGAATTTCTCAACTGACCTGTTCCTCTGGATGACTCTGACACTGAATGTCCTTCTCCACCTCGACATCACAGAGGCTGTGATGGGCCGTCACCTTAGTCCGGGTATGGAGATCAACGCAGGACTTACACAGGAGTTTCGAACATTCAAGACACTTGGACGCAGCCTCGTTGTTTTTAGAATGCAGATTGTGGCATATATCACAGAGGGGAACAGCACTGGGCTTCCTCCTGTTGACAATCTCGGTGAGGTTGGAGACGAGGAAGTTGTCCGGCAGTTTCCGGACTCCTCCGTTCGGTATGTCTGTACGTTTTCGGCACAACGGACACGAGACATTTCTCATATATGACGCGTACCTGTACGATGTCCGCTCCATTTGAGCGTCCATATGCTTCTCTATGCAGTCGGAACAAAATACATGAAGACAGTCCAGTGTCTTTGGCTGCTTGTATGGTTCCAAGCATATTTTGCAGACCAAAAATTGGTCACTTATTTCTTTCGTGAGCTGGGACGCCATTTCGCCGGATGGAATTTATAAGCTACTGTAGTGGTGTTGTCCTAGGTATGAGTACTTGAGGCCGGATTTACCGTAAATATTTAAATTAAATATGTACAGAATACAATTACGGCTCCGTCACAGAACTCTTCCAATACCGATATCCCTGCTTAAACTTCATTTCATGTGGACACTCCTTCGTTCTAAAACATAATCCCAGCTTTCCTGTTTGGAATCAACAAACACGAGTAGAGAGAGCCGTCTTCGCTTGAGCATATAGGCTTTTCTGGCCTCTTTAAACTTGTTTACCTGACCCAACAGGTGAAATAAGAGATCGACTGGGACAGAAATTGAAAAAAATGTTGTATTATCTAACTGTTAGTGTTCACGCGCAGCACGAGTATTTAGCAACGCAATAGTTTTGTACGAGTGATGAGTTCATTTCTTCGGGTAAATAAATCCGTTGTACGTAGAAAATGCGTCTTTCCCTTCCAAGTTACCTGGCGCCGAGAGTGATTTTGATTGGCGATGAAAAGGAATGATTCCACGTGCAAGAATGTAGCCTTCAGTCGTCTAGATAACAACTGTTGATTTGTTTCCACGTTAATAATAACTCTCTACGGCAATAAAGCAAAGTTCCCAAGAATTATCTTAATATCCATTCCAGCGAAAAACGAGGTATGCGTAATTTTCACGCGTGATTGATTTTTTGCACTCACATAGCTCTTATGCAAGACGCCGAAATATGCGGCAAGAGACAGTTTAACTTCTCATCTTACGGGGCTTACGTCTCCAGTAAATCTGATGTTCATTCTTTAAGGCACAACTTGAGGTAACTTTCCGTGTTATTTCACGCCGGCGCCCAGCAAGTGGTCTTACAGAGAACATCAAAAGCTAAACCGCGTTTGGCAGCTATATCCATGATTCTCTCTTAAAATGTTTCCGCTTCAGTGCAAGACGCCAGCACAGGTGTGGTTTTGGTCTGAAATTTCTCCTGTTACAAGGATCAGTTAGAATAAGGATCTCTTTGGCGATAAAAGGTCTTTTAGGTAACGCGAGATGAGGCGTCTTCAAACGTAATTGGTTGTTTTCGAGGTAAAGTTGTGTATATTCTTGGGCGGTGGGTGACTCGGGGCCAGTTGGTCTGAAAAAAAAAACATAAATCAATAAAAAGTGGCCACTATCTGCCATCTACAAGGGCCCATAAGCTATCCTTTATGTAAAGTACATAAGAATAACATTCCCTAACATGTGATTTATTTACGCTTGTTCATAAATCAAAGCACGCTAGTAAGAAACCTTCAATCCAATTAAAGATAAAGATATAACATATATGGCATCTCAGTGGTGCCCTTTTAGTTTCCATTCTTCCTTCTTCCTTATAAAAAAATAAAAAATTAATATTTCATGACAAATAATCTTACTTTGGGAGTGCACATGAAATTTTTTTATTTTAGAGGAACGGTATCTGAGCCCAAGAAGGATGTGAATAAGTCTAATAATATTTTTTTTTCTGTTTTCTATCTAGAAATTGTTATGTCTCCCAGTGGGTGAGGGAGGGGGCAGTGAATGTTACCGCGTTCCACTTCATGTCGGCTCTTGTTTGCTAAGACGAAAAACCTCATCAAAACGTTCTTTAAAAATTGCAGGAAAGTATAACAGTCAACAAACCATAACAACCACCTAGAAGCAACCTTTAACGCTCCAACGGTTAAAACAGCTCGGCCCAAGAAAAACAACAAGGAATTAATGTAACGATATCTAGGGCTCTATGCCTAGTATATAATGTCAAACCCAAACCACCTACACGCGTTTTAAGCAAATCCAAATTATGGTGTTTTTATTTCGTTTCAGTTTCTTTTTTCTTCACTGGCTTCAATGAGACTTTTTACAAAGAGCAGATCCTTTACAAATTTTCAGATAAATCCATTCCTTTACGTTGTTTACTTGTGAAATTTTGTCAGGATTTGCCTTCTTTGAACACTGCGTGGAAAAGGAGAGAGAGAGAGAGAGTCTACGTGTTTATGATTTATGTATATCTTGATATTCTACCAGAAAGCAACAAAGAAGTGCAATATCCCTGCAAGTCCTTTTCCGCGCTCTGTCCTTCCTAGTTAGAACAAATTCAACAGGCATGGTTCCAAAGTTGACGTTGAAGCCATACCTGCGATGATGAGTCATGATGCAAACTTCGAAACGAATCCTCTAAATTGAACAGACTCGCTCATTTACTTCAATGTTTACAACAAAGATCTGTACTTAGGTCTATCATATGGCTTCTCTGGTATTTCTCTATCAAAAGCCGGTAAAAAATCTCCCCCAAACACCCCTTACGTCAGTGCCGTGTGTTACCCTGCATGTTCCGTGATTACAACACTGTAGGTAATGTGGCACTGGGCTATGTAATCAAGTGGGAGCCGAGGCCGAAAAACGTGTGCCAATCTATCTCTGGCATTCTCGGATGTGTCATTAAGATGCCAGCGCGTAATTTGCTGAAAAATTTGCAAAGCAAAGGGTATTATACTCGTTGCCAAGTTTACACAGGAAATAAAACGGTGTTTTGTTTTTTTTCGCCAGAGAGCAAAAATGTCAACACTGTGCTGAGGTTCCTTTTTATGGGCACCTTTTTGGAGTGTATTGATGATATGCCAAGTAGTATTTTTTTAACTTCGCAACTAAATTAACGCCTATTTCTAAGTTCTTTACCAATAAATTTATTTATTACCAAATTACTTTGGTCTATCGAGTGCCTGGACCAGCTCATTTTTACCGCTGCAACCCTTCACCCCTACCCCCTACTCCCCTCACCCCACCCACCCCTACCCCCTCACCCCTACCCCTCTCACCCCCACCCGATCCCTACCCCGCTCCATTCAAACGGCCATCTCAGGTCATCTCAGGAATCATTTTCAGGATGAATTATTACTCCATTTGTTTTGATACGCAATAAGAACGAAAGAAACTTCCTGAGCCGCAGCACTCTTCAAACCACATTTCAAGCCAAAACATCAAAGAAATATGGGACTTACCATCAAGTTCTGTTCCTTTGGTGAGAGTTCGCTGTGAGGAGAATCTTCATGGCAGTGCACGGGGTTCAGTATCTAAACAACAGGTAAAAAGAGATACTAAGACACACTGAGTCATTTTATGGGATTTAAAAATAACACTGGAAATGGTTCATTGAAACAGCTGCTTCTCAGTATACGCTAGACTCTGTATGCAACCCATCTTTCTTGGGCTAATATGAAATAAATGTCTGTTGAATCATGAGCTATTAATCCCCCAAATCAAAATCTATCATTTCACATAATTAACAAATGAATAACTGAAGCACAAACAGGCGTGTTTTCTTACCCTCTCTGGCTGTTTGGGCCTCTTAGTTCCACTGAATTGAGCACATATTCTTCGACGTTTGCACTTTTATTTAACAATAAAAGCGAGGGGATGTATGTATATAAATATTTATCTTTGCACGCAACGTATCGTATGCTCACACTCTCGACTCAAACACGAGGTATGTGGTGGGGTATGATAATAAGCCAGCCATGAGGAAATTTGATCAACCACTTAGTAAACCTGTACATGATCTTCTCAGCGACCTTTTCCTTTCACAGGGTGTCAGTGAATCCAAATGTCACACGAGGTGTGAAACGGAAAGATGTGTCACACTGCCCACTTCAATAAAAGTTTAAGTTTCAGATAAATCTCGAAAATTGTTTTCTGTGTTTCTAAAGCCTATATTTAAAGCGCTTGGTGTTAAAACCACTTAAACTCCATCTAAAGGTGCATGTACTCTTTTCTTGAGGAGTTCATCCAAAGTTCAAGATCTGATGAGTAGCTGAACGCCTCAATCGATAATCGTAAAGACAGCTTTCCAATCACACCTTTAGACCGTTTTAATCACTTCGACTGCCGTTCAATCACACCTACTGTCCAAATTACTTTAATGAAACCCTTCCATTTTCCAGATAGACCATAACTTTAATTGAATGACATTGTTTTACTCTCACTTTTCTTGGCTGTGTGCTCGTGTGACTGCTGTGTGTGTGTGTGTGTGTGTGTGTGTGTGTTTGTGTATGTGTGTGTGTGTGAGGGGTATGTGACTGCTGTGTGTGTGTGTATGTGTGTGTGTATGTGTGTGTGTGTGTGTGTGTGTGTGTGTGTGTGTGTGGATGGATG